CCCCCCCCCAGACAGCGCAGGTGCCGCCCCCTCGGGAGGGCTGGAGGGGTGGCAGCTCCTTGGGGAGGGGGCGTGGGAGGTGCCGTGGCCGATCCTTGATGTCCAGGAGGGGGCTGGCCCCGCCCTCCCTCAAGGCCGCAGAAGCCGTCCAGTGGGGGCTCCCGCCTCAGCGGTCAGCACTGGCTGTGCCTGACGAGGCTTCTGGGGAAACGCCCCCCTCCCCGGCCACTGCTGTCCAGCTGCCGGCAGGCGATTGTCCGAGTGACAGCTGCAGCCTGACCTGTCCTCTGCCGGCCGGTCCCCCATGGCCACAGCTTCTGCTCAGGGGTGCAGACTCTGGTGTCTGGGGGCACCGCCCAGGGCCTGCTACCCCTGCCGCTGAGGCCGCGAGGCGCGTTCAGGGCCAACACTAAAGGGCATCGCTGGCCGGAGGCTGCTGGGGTGGGCCGCCGAACCCCGCAGGGGCTGGACCCCCATAGCCAGCTGGGAAGGGTGGGGGCCCGGCCCCAGCACCCCAGATGCCCACCCCGAGCGGGGCCTGTCCAGTGTGCAGGGCCCTGCCAGGCCACACCCTGCCCGCCGCCCCCCAGGCCTCCGCGAGCCGCCCACTCAGCGCTGGTGGCCACTGTGTCCCCGTCCTCTCCGGTCCCGGCCCGCCCGGCGGCGCCCCCAGGCAGGGTGGGCAGAGCTCTGGGGGCCAGGTCGCACCCGGCGTGGGGCGCACCGGCGGCACTTCCCTTGGGGTACGTGCGCCTTGCGGAGCTCCCCTCCCCGACCCCCAGTCTTCCCGGGGTGGGGGCTTCTGGGCCCCTCTGCACTAGTAGCAGCAGGGGTCACCCCCAAGGCGACAGGGCAGATGGGCACTCCCTGGCCCCGGGGCGCAGACCACATTCCTCCAGGAACCCCTGGCTCCGGGCTCCCTGCAGGCCACCCGCCGCGTGGACCCATCTGCTGGGGCAGCGGAGGCCGAGAGGCGGCTGGGCCCCAGCGGCCGGGCCTCTGGCTCCCGCGAGGGGGCGCGGGTGGGGGCGCGGGTGGGGGACCGTGCTCCTGCGCCATTCCTGCTTCTGTGTGAGTCCTGGTGCCACGGGTCGGCCTGCCCTGGGGTCGGGGCGTCGTGCCCCCGCCCCCTCTCCCCCCGAGGTCACCGGCTCCGCGGTGGCCGCGCGCAGGGTGGCTCCCTCTTCGTGCAGGTTTGGGGAGTGGGCACAGGTCCCTGCCACCGGCCTGTGCAGCTGGGCGGGGAGTTGGGGGGCGCGCAAGGAGAACCCCGGGGATAGGCGCAGGTCCCGCCCCAGCCCCCCCAGCTGCGCCACGCGGGGAGGGGCGGACGTGGCTCGGCTGGGCCCCGGGAGCGGCCCGCCCCCCTCCCCGCGCGGGCACCGCGCTCTGGCTCGGGTTCCTGGGCAGGTGGGGCTGGGGGCGGCCCAGGCTGAGAGGCCCCGGCAACGGGGAGGGGCCGCGGGCCGCCTGCGACCGACCGCAGCAGGCGGTTGGGAGAAAGGCCCCTTCCCGTCTCCTGGCCACCGGCCCCACGTGGGCCGCCCCGCTTCTCTCCCTTGTCCCCAACGGCACGCACAGCCTGGAACTGGCACCCCTCTTGGGCATGTCCAGCTCCAGCGACTCTGGGACCCGCAGGGGTGCAGCCGGCTCGCGGGAGGGGCCTACGCAGGCCGAGCCCTCCCCCCCATTGAGGACCAGCGCCCCCGGCACGACGGGTGTGCTCCAGGCTGGACACCCTCGGCCTTCGCGGAAGGTCCAGGCTGCGCTTCGCCCCAACGCCCCCTCCGCCCCAGCAGGCCAGCCGGGTACGGCGGCAGGCTCCCGGGGGAGAAGCCCGGGAGCCCCTCCCTCTCCCACCCGGCGCCCCGGCCCTCGCCCGGCTCACGGGGAGGAAGGTGGAGACGG